TTGTGGCAAAATTGGTCCCATAGGAATGAATGGCAAAATGTTCAAAACTAGACTGGGAGCTGGCAAAAGCTGAAAAATTAGGACATGATTTCTAAACTGCCACCACTCCCTCATTTTCAAGCCCACCTACACAAATCTTATATCAAAACATTAAGCTATCCCTGCTGCCACTAAACATGTCCACGGCTAAGCCATAGTCCTGATAGTTTTCACAATATTACCATTTGTTTGCAACTCACGCCGTCCATTGACATTCATTGAAACTCCACTCTAGCCAGCTCAAATTTGAAGGGCAATTTCTAAACTGCGACTGTGCCTTCATTTTTTATATTTCAGAGACAAACTATGCATCAAAATTTAGGTCTGGGTCTTGTGATTCTCACAATATAAAGCTCTTCGCTGTATTTTTATAGTTTTTAAAATACGACCATTTGAAGATGTCAACCGCCAAAATACTCTGACCTGTACCAAGCTGGAGCAGCAAGTGATGTTATAGACAGGGCCTTTTGTACACCTGCTAATGTTTTTATAAATGTTTGTTTTAATGTAACTTTGAAGTACTTTGGGCAACAACGTTGCAATTAAATGTGCTATATAAATAAATAATAGTTACGCCCCCCACTCCAGTTGTAGACTCCTGGTAGAGGCAAGAACACTTCACACAATTTCCCCAGAAATTGTAGCTTTTCTAGTTTCAATATCATGTCCAAAGGATACATTAATACCTATCCACAGATTAATACTCAAGCCTAATTTTTATCATATTTAGAATTGGACAAACAATCTTCCAACCAAGCCTAAACATGATTTGTGAACAAGGGGACCCCACAGAATCTGTTTGGTAACCGAACAGAAGGGGACAATTCCATTCAAATGCAGGGAAATAGCTGATACAAAGTATAATTAAGGGAACTCGTATGAGGAGTCCCATCTCCCATGACAAGCGGTTAACCAAGATAGAAGGCAGATTCCAGGCAGACAAGAGTTGATGCAAGGGAATTCTACAGGTGAGGGTAATCAACTCAGTTTAGTCAGGAGCTGGCTCTGAACTCCAAGGGAGTAACAAAACAAGTGAGCACAGACCCAAGGGTGATCTGTGCTTATATCGGGGAAAAGGGAATGGGAGCCCTCCCAGGAGGAGGGGTTTAGGGGCCTATATAAGAGGAAAGCCTTATGAGGGCAGGACACTATGTCCACTTGTCGCTTAACTCCACACTGCTTCCAGGTAAACCAGCATGGGTCCCACATGGTTCTGTTAGCATGAGGGAATCCCAGGGCAGTGTGGGGGTCATGGCACATATATTACTTGGTCAGAGTCTGTGCTCTTTCCTCCATACGCTGCAACCTGTGGGGTTTAGGGAAAACTGAGCTGTATCAGAGCGCCTACTGCTCACGGCACGCTACTGTGGAGTGGCGGAAACAACCGGCGACCGGGAGGTAGGTGGAGCATGTCTTTCATTCCCAGAATACCGATATACATGCGGCGTCCGGGGACTGAGTAGGACATGCCGAATGACATGTGCCGTGACAATAGATCATGCCTCTAAATCCTTACTGCTCAATTCTCTGCCATTGAAGAGTTAAATCACTTTTGTTTCTGTTTCATTTTGTTTCTCCTACAAGGTTTAGCAAGTTATTAACAGAGCAGGAGATAAGAAATTTAAAATTAATAAAGGAAGTGTAAACCTTTGATCTTTATTTTCAGGAAGTGTTTAGGAAGGCTGTTAAAATCACATACAGGGAGATGTAACTATGGCTGTGTTATCAAAGTGATTTTACTCGTAAATGGCAGAGAATTGAGGAGTGTGACTGCAGGGGCATGGTCTATACACCAATGTTTCTTCATTAAGATAAAGTTGTTTTGGTGACTATAGTGTCACTTTAAGTCTAAATACAATATTGGGCACATACCACTTACCCCTTTTTTGTGAAGCCTGTAAAAAGGTTACATTTTACATTGAATTCCGTGCTGAGCCAAGTTCTCCACAATTGTTTCTACACCTTTTGTCTTCATGTGGCATCACCCTGTGGGAAAAAAAACTAAACCGAAGAGCCACCTAGTGCTTTGTTCCCTAGGCCACTTCTTCACATACGTTTATAATAAAATTCCATAAAACATGAAATGTGTTGAATGGCTTCAGTTTTTGTGTTTGTAAGAGCAAATGGATTTTGTGTTTGAATTATAGAGAGAAAATGGTGCGCATTAAATCAACCAGACCAATAGGCATTGCAAGAAAAAATAGTACTTATTTAACCAAAAGCCACATAAAATATATATATATATATATATATATATATATATATATGTGTGTGTTCTAACATATGGTTTTTGACTAAGTCAGGTGTACAGAAGTGTAGTGCAGCCAGGGGAGGGCCAAAACTAGTCAAGTGGCCCATTGCACAACCAAATCAGTTTACCATCCATGCCCACCTGGTTTTATAACGGATATTGATGTTATGCTAATCAGTAGCTCTTTGCCATACCCGCTCCTTCACGGCTCTGACTTTCAATGTTGTCAGAGCGCAGGCTGAGAATCTCTGAGCCTGTGCTCTGACTCACTAACCGAGCGCCGGAACCACGAGGGAGAGGATATAATCTGACTGCACCTACTGCTGGTGCGCACCAGTGGACCACCAGCGAATCGTTTAAATTTAATATGCTGGTGTACCCAACTTGTGAGCTGTGTTGGCCGCCGGGCGCCTCTGTTGTCATGGAACCCTGCGTGACTGCACAGCTTGCACACCCCAACGGCTGGCCCTGCTGACACATACTGATGTTACTACTTAGAAATCCCTCAATATTAATAACAACATCAGAGTAAACAGTGGAAACAGAGCTGATCCCCCCCCAAATGTAATAAGATTTGCTTAGTGGATTTGTTGTAAGATTAAATCATGCCTCCTCCTCTCTCTCCCATGTGCTGTTCTGTAGGCTGGGAGGAAGTGAAGAGTAATCACATTATTCCAGCACAGCGCCACCTGTGGCTGCATGGGGAACAGCTGTTTAATGTAATGCTTGTTCCCGTCTCTGCAAAGGGCCCCAAGCACTGCTTGCTGTGAGTGTGAGCCACTGTAAATTAGGGGCAGAGGGCACTTGCACTGCGGTAAAGACAGGTCTGGGCAGGAGGAGAGTTCAGTGCAATCAGTGCACTCCCCTCCTGTGGGTCACCAGTAGACTGGTGCACCTGCCCAGGATCAGAGCCAGTGCAAGGATATTTGCCGCCCTAGGCAAAGGAAAAATTTGCTGCCCCCCCATGTGACATCACAATGCCCCACCTATATGATCTGCCATATGAACTAATGCCAATGCTGCACACAGTGTGTGTTTACATTAAAAAGCCTGCAGGGACCGGCTATAGACACCAGAACCACTCCATTAAGCTGAAGTGGTTCTGTGGACTATAGTGTCCCTTTAATGTGAGGTAAATTATAGATTAGTGTCACTAATAATATACTAGATTGCCTACTTACAACCAGATGAGGATGATGATGGGCTGCAGTTTGGCTCCACTGGTCTGGTGTAGAACAGGATCTCTGAAGGCTGTTTGTAACTGTGGTCACAAAATTCAAAGTTCTAGTAGAATGGGAAGCAGCTCCATTTTTTTGGGGCCCCTTAAACAGCTCAAGGTCTGTGCCCCAGGGCCTGACGGTGAGCATGCCCATAAGGCCCACCTACATATTCCACCCATGAGTTCGCTTACAGGGTGTGGAGTGTGTAGGGGATGTGTTATGTGTTATTGTAGAGGATCTAATGTGTGTGCTTATGGTATGTAGTGTATAGGGATACCAGTTTGTGTAGGTGATGCAGTGTATTTGTTTGTAGTGGAAGCAGTGTGTGTTTGTGTATTAGCGATGTATTGTGTGAATCTGTGTTTGTATGCATAAGGGATGCAAGCTGTGTGTCTGTAAGTGTGTGCATTGAGTGTGTGTATGAAATGCATTGTGTTTCTGTGTATATGTAAGAGAAGCAGTGTGTGTGTTTGCATATGTGTGTAAGGGTTTGCATTGTGTGTTTCTGTGTATGTGTGCAAATGATGCATTGTCTTTGTGTGTAATGGGTGCACTGTGTGTTTCTCTGTGTGCGTAGGGATGCATTGTGTGTTTGTGTATGTATAGGGATGCATTGTGTGTTTGTGTATGTATAGGGATGCATTGTGTGTGTGCGCGTAGTGTGAAAGAGCTCCCTGTCCTGCCCCCTGTCCTATAGAGCTCTCCTCTGCCCCTTAGTGGTCTCTCTCCCCCCCCTTCCCTAGCAGTCACTTCTCACACCCACCCACCCACCCTCCCTGTGCTCTTCTCATCCCCCCACCCCCCCAAACCTCCGGTATTCTTTTCAGCCCCCTCCCTCCCTGTGTTCTTCTCACCCCCCCCCATGTGTTCTCCTCACCTCCCCCATGTGTTCTACTCACTCCCTCCACCCTCCCTGTGTTCTTCTCACTCCCCCACCCTCCCTGTGTTCTCCTCATCTCCCCTTCTCTCCCCTCCTCCCTGTGTCCTTCTTACTCTTCCCCCTCCTCTCTGTGTTCTTCTTACTCCCCCTGTTCTTCTTAACCCCGTTCTTCTTAATCCCCCCAATCCCCCTGTTCTTCTTAATTAATTCCCCCAACCCCCCTGTTCTTCTTAATCTCCCCACCCCCCTGTTCTTCTTAATCCCTGCACCTCTCCCCCTTCTTCTAATCCCTCCCCCCTTCTTCTTAATCCCTCCCCCCTTCTTCTTAATCCCCCCACCCCTCCCCTTCTTCTTAATTCCCCCCCTCCTTCTTAATCCCCCCTTCTTCTTAATTCCCCTCCCTCCCCCTTCTTCTTAATTCCCCCTTCCCCTTCTTAATTCCCCTCCCCTTCTTCTTAATCCCCCCCCCTCCACTTCTTCTCCGTTTCCTTCTTGTGAAATGCCCCTCCTCTCTCCTCCCCTCCCCTGTAGCATGGCCGAGCTACTCTCCGGTCCGCGGTGCCCGGCCGTAGTGATAGGAAGGTGCACACTCAGTGTGCACTTCTTGTCAGTCCGGCCGGTTACAGGAAACAGAAACTCCGCGCGGAACAGGAGTTTCTGTTTCCTGTAACCGGCCGGACTGACAGGAAGCTCACACTGAGTGTGCACCTTCCTTTAACTCCGGCCGGGCACCGCGGACCGGAGGGGAGGGGAGAAGATGTGCTGCAGCCGCAAGAGGCTCTTAACAGAGCGCTCAGGCAGCTGCAGCATTTAAAGTGGCCGGTCTTAAAAGGATTTGGGGCGGCCTGGGGGGCAATTGCCTCCCTGCCCCCCCAGCCCGCCCCTGAGTGCAGCCATGGCATATGGCTGTGAGAAGAAAACAGATGGGTTGAATAAATGTTCATTTTTCTCAACTGTATCGATGGCAGATCTACAATGGGTAAAACCCAAGATAATACAACAGAGATGGCAGCAAAAAAGATTCACAACTATGACACAAAATTATATGCCAGACAAAATGTTGTCCTTTTACTTATTTTAATCATACAGCCTCTCTATGGACATTTACTATTCCTTCATCACGGACCACCATAGGTACCCAGACCACTTCAGCTCAATGAAGTGGTCTGGGTGCCAGGTCCCCCTAGTTTTAACCATGAAGCTGAAAACATAGCAGTTTCAGAGAAATTTTTCTATGAAAATTTTTCTATGAAAACATAGCAGTTTCAGATGCTTCCGCGATTTATAATGAGTAAATCGCAGTAATTGGAAGCTGGACATCCTTACGGAGTCAAAGATGCTTTCCTATGGGCGGGTTTGAATGGTTGCGCATGCGCATTCAGCTCCACTCGGGAGCGCATTCAGCTCCACACTGGGTGGGCCCGGTGCTGGATGAAGGTAAGCGCCAAGGGAGGGGGGCCCAGAGGGTGGGGGGCACTCCAAGAGCATATAGTGCCAGAAAAACTGATTCGTTTTCCTGGTACTACAGGATCCCTTTAAAGAAAACCAAGGATTGTAGATCCAGCGGCAGGTCCCAATTGAGAAGCAACATTTGATTAGAGAAAGAATCTTTTGATCTGCTTTAAAAAAAAAACAAAAAAAAATGTGTATGCCTTTATCTCCAAGAGGACAGAACCCTTCTTGTGTTGGAGTTAGCCATACCATCTCTACTCACTGCATCATCATATCTGATAGTAATATTTCTATAATGTGATTAATGAATTATGCTTGATGTGCATGACAGCAACAAACGTTTACCTTTTTGAACTGGTCTTGCTTTAAAGACCCTTTGCAAACCAGGGGACTGGGCATCCTATAGTGCTATTTATTTATTAGTAAAATGCATGCCAATATTATATCCTTTGCATAAGCCGATGGATGGCATCTTGTGACACTCAAAGGATTCATAAATCATAGAAACAGGACAAGGTGGGTTAGATAGACAGGACGCTGACCCTAGTTTAATTCATGGTTGATAGTTGAAATGTAAGTCTGACAATTCTAAGAGCTACCAAATACAAGTATGACAGTTCAGACACATTGATTGGTTTGTGAGTTCATTCCATTTGACATTCTAAACTGTGTCTGCAGTCTCGATGAAGAACACAAACAGCTGCTTAGTGTATATTTTTGAGGAGCTATTGATACACTGCAAATATGGCTTGAAAGTACGTATGCATATTTTTATCTTCTATTACGTTGAACTATTTTATTCTCTTTGACCTAGAACTCCATTCTTATTCATTTGACAGGAAGTATCAGGAGGAAGAAGTGTAATAATGTTGCTAGTCCGCATAGACACAGATACAAATGCATGTAATGAAAAGCAAATGCATACTTTTACAATATCTAGTTGTTTTTCTTGAGCATCAAAATAACAAGCAAAAATCTCAACATTAAAACTAGGGATGTGCATTGGCAAAAAATTAGGTACGGTTCAGAAATTCGGGTCAGTAAAAAATAAGTCTGCTTCAGCAATTCTGACCAATTGTGATGTCCGTGAGAATAACTACCTTCCTGGCATTGGTGGTGATGCTGGTCGGTGGCCCTGTGCCGGTGTATCTAGCTCCTGCGGCATGCTGAAAGACGGCAGCCGCTGCAGATCCATACCGATTAGTAGCCCCACGTTCGCCCACGGTATTGACAATGTCAACATGCGTGTGATGTCACGGAAAGGATGCACACGCACGTTCTGGGGTCATAGACTGGGTATGGCCAATCGGATTTAAAGCATGGTTTCCCTTAGTGGTTGTCCGAGAGTGTGCTCCTGAGCTTTTATTTCTGGTTATTGACTTTGGCTTAATTTTGTGTTCCTTGTAATCTTGTATCCTTGTCTTTTGGCTTTCCCTCATCATTGTGTCGGGGACACAGAATTGCATATTCTGTGTCCCCGACCTTGGCAAATATTATGTCTTTTGTTAAGTCCGGCCTTTCTAAGGACCAGTAAGACGTTACCTTTTAGTCCTAGGTGTATATTATTCTAATATACTACCTTCTCACAGATCTTATGACTGCTCCATAAATCTGTTACCCGGCGCTATGACACCCAGAGGGGCAGTGTATGCCTTTTTACCACAGGAGAGTAGAATAATGGATGAGTACATCAAAGATTCCCTAAGTAAGGGCCACAGACGCAAATCATCCTCGCCTGCTGGTGCAGGGTTTTTTTTTTGTATCTAAAAAAGATGGAGAATTACGTCCATGCATTGACTACAGGGCATTAAACAAGATCACCATTAAAAATGCCTATCCCATTTCCCTCATTTCCGAATTGTTTGACAGACTCCAGGGTGCTAAAGTCTTTACTAAACTTGACCTCAGGAGTGCATACAATTTGGTAAGGATTAAGGAAAATCATGAGTGGAAAACGGCATTTAACACTAGAATACCTTGTCATGCACTTCGTGTTATGCAATGCTCCGCCCGTGTTCCAGGACTTTATTAATGATGTACTCAGGGACTATATTTATTAATTTGTCCTAGTATACCTGGATGATATCCTTATTTATTCCCCTGACCTTAAGACTCACCAAGAACATGTCAAACAAGTGTTGCAAACTTTACTTAAAAAATAAACTTTATAGCAGACTTGAAAAATGCATCTTTGACCAGACTGAGGTACCGTTTTTGGGGGTATAACATCTCTGCCTCTGGTTTTCAGATTGATCCTCATAAACTGGAGGCTGTTCTACATTGGCCATTGCCCAGTGGACCAAAAGCCATCCAAAGGTTTATTGGGTTTGCTAATTATTACAGGAGATTTATCAAATGGTTCTCTTCTGTGATAGCCCCATCACCAAAATGACACGCAAGTGGGCTAGTAGTATCATATGGTCTAAGGAAGCTAGAGAAGCTTTTGAACTTCTTAAAGAGTTGCTTGCTTCGGCTGACATTTTGGTACATCATGACACTAGCAAAACCTTCATACTGGAGGTTGATGTCTCCGAAACTGAGGTGGGGGCTGTTCTGTCTCAGAGGGAGACTGAGGATACCCCTTTGCATCCTTGTGGGTACTTCTCTAGAAAGTTGTCTCCTGCTGAGCGTAATTATGATATTGGCAACATTATACTAGCGCTTAAAGAGTGGCAACATCTTTTTGAGGGTTCCAAGGACCCCCTTTTGATCATTACTGACCCCAAATAATTTGGCTTATATAGGGGATGCTAAATGGCTGTCTTCTAGACAGGCTAGATGGTCTTTGTTCCTATCTCACTTTAACTTTCTGATAACTTACAGACATGGTCCCAAAAATGTGAAAGCAGATGCCTTATCTAGACAGTTTGACACTGAATCAGTACAAGAACAAGAGACATCCCCTATTGTTCCACCTGAGTGTATCATTTCTTCCACTCTTCTTTCCTTATCATCCCCTCTGCTTGGTGCTATCATGGAGGCTCAGTCTCAAGCACCATGCAATAAACCACTAAATAAATTTTGTTCCATTGTTTGAAAGAGAAAATATCATGAGGATGTTCCACAACAACGTAACGGCTTAATCAGGACATCAAAGGGTTTGGAGAAAATAACCAAAAAATCGTTATATGCTGATGATGTACTGATAACTATCCAGAAACCCAAGGATTCCATCAACCAAGTGGTAGAAACTATTAAAAATTACAGCAACTTTTCTAATTATAAGATAAATAACGAAAAATCCACAGCGCTATATTTAAATACATCTCAAAATAATATTGATACTATAGAAAATAAATATGGATTTAAACAAGCTAAAGGTTATTTTAATTATCTGGGTATAAAAATTTCAAAAAATCCAAAGAAATTGATAGAAATTAATTTGCTGCCATTAATTAAAGAAACAAATGTTAATCTAAAAAAAAGGAAAACTCTGGAAGTTTCTTGGTCAGGGAAAATAAATACACTAAAAGCATATATTATTCCAAAATTCTTGTATATTATGAGAATGGTTCCTATAAAGATCCCAGATAGTTGGTTAGAATTAATTCAATCATCATTTACCAAATGTATCTGGTCAGGTAAAAAACCCAGAATCAAAAAAGATATTATTTCTAGGAAAAAAGATGAAGGCAGTATGAGTATTCCAATCATCCAAGACATTGCACAAGCTAATTTACTAGCACATGTCTTAATGGTAAATAAGGAAGATTCTATAAATGAAAACTGGTATAAAAGAGAACAGACTCTGACCTCGGGAGATAAGGACTATAAAACCCTTCTATGGCCAATAGATAAAGAAACAAATAAATATATTAAAAATTCAAAATTGTTGATAATTTAACAAATTTTTCCCACCTGGTCTCACTGAAAAAAAAAAATTGGCTTAAAAATGAAGATAATCCCTGGTATAAATTTAAATATACTGTCAGATTTAATGACAGATATAAACTTAGAAATCTAGATCCTGCAAGGTATAAAAAAGATATCTAATCTCTTTATAGGAAATAGATTAAAATCTTATGAACAACTTCAAACTGAATATGGTATACCCTCCGTCGAATGGTTCAATTATATTAGGGACAAATCTTTTTTAAATAAATTTCTAAGATTTAACCCTCTTGAACCACCAGTTAAGCTTCTCTCAGAAATATATGCACATTCAGATTATACTCATTTGGCTAACAAATGTCAAAAAATTATCTAGAAGACTCATATTAAATCAATC